CCCCCCCCCCTCCTCAAATTTGTACAGCATATAAGATTGCCTTTTAAAAGAACACAGGGGGTATGCCCTCTCCAGTCTGCCTTAGGCTACAAATGGTAGAATATCGGACACAGAGAATTATCAATACTTAGTCAGACAAATTAACCCATTGAGGGCTAGTACTCTCCCCTTGACAAAAATTATCTGGCGTTAGACAGTGTAAAATAATAATTTAAATGTAAGGTGTATTGGGGCGTAATGCAAGTCACTGGGTTAAACCAGAACAGCTCTTGACACCCAACATTCAAAATTTGCTCTTTATTGAAAACCTGTCATGGCACAGGAGCACTGTCATAGCTCATCAACTTCCTCAGATATCAAACATGCCATATCTTTGTCTCATAGCCTTGGTCTACGGCTGATCAAATCAATGGCCTTGCAATGGTGTTACCTTACAGTGTACTGTACTTATAGATGGTGATGATCAATATAATTTGTGGGCTTCTGTATGAGGCAACTACAGTACCAGAAAAAAACCCTGAAAAATAGAACAACAAATCGAGTGAAGACCAAAGTTTGTTCAATTTTTCAGGCAGTTGCATCATACACAGAAGCCTGCAAATTAGCAATTAACTTCAAGTTGGAGAGTTAAAAAGTGTTTCGTCAGAAGGAAACTTTAAATCTACTTTAAATGAAAGATTCGACTCATATTCGACTTTTCCGCTTTGCTCGAGGACAACCTTAATTGAAATAGCTGTATACATATATAATACAAACAGAACAGAACAATGTCAATGAACAAAACTGAAGGTGAATAACCACTTGTCTACACTGCAACTATGTATTTTGCCTACTTGTCTACACTGCAACTATGTATTGTGCCTATTGCAGGCACTACCGCATAGGGGAGCTCCACATAGAATACGTAAAAGGCTGCAACACGTCTGTCAAAATGCACGCAAACGCACCAATTAATATGCTTCAACTTCTTTAATTTTCATCCTGTTTTTACTAAATTTCCCATGAATATATAACATATCATTCTCACTCAATCGTCTGTTTTTTTGTGTATGGAACTGCTACTTTTTGTGTAAATTACATCACAAACTTGGCACCAAAAAATTAAAATAAGCTATTGCAGTCAATTAGTAATTTCATAAATCTATTTAGAGGAGCAGACTATTAATTAAGGGTACTTTAAAACTGAAATCTGTTTCTAAATACGACCATTTTATGGCAAGATAATACAAATGTCGAAAAATCCGCCATATTGTTACTAAAAACAAAACAAAATGACGGATTTTTAGAAATTTAAGTCCTTATATCTTCGCAAGGAATGGTTGCATTTCGAAACCGATTTCAGTTTTAAGATATATCCTTAGTCTGCTCTTCTAAATGGATACATGAAGTCACCTATAGCTTATTTTTAATTTTTGGCACCAAGTTTGTAACGTAATTTACCCGCCAAAAAGTATCAATTCCAAAAACAAAAATATATACTATTGGTTAAGAATGATATGTTCTACAGTATGTTCATGGGAAATTTAGTAGAAACGGGCTGAAAATTAAAAACGTTGAAGCATATTGGCGCTTTTACACGCATTTTTGAAGTTGCAAAGAAATTTGCAACAGATGCCAAGAGATATGTTGGGTGGGGGCGAGGTTCTTTAGAGTGGGAACCATAGAGCAAATTACCTTTGATCCAGAAAATCCCTGGGCACCACTACATGAATGTGTTAAGACTCTGACTACGCTGAATGATGGACAACAACAACCTGTTCATGATTTCGCCCCTAGAGTCAATGTAAAACAGCTTTTTAAAGATGGTGCCATTTCATCTGGCGATAGTGAGGTGAAAGAAGCAGCGAGTTGGTAATGTCGAGGATTGAGAATAGCCTAGCATATCAGATATCTTGAGGAACTGCAAGTTGTATCTGCGATAAGAGAGAATTCCGGATGGTACTCCTTGGATTTCGGATTCTGGGGGAGCATTGAAAATGTTAAAAACATTGGGGGGAGGCATCAAAAATTTACCAATAACCCCAACATACTAAATGTCATAAGTAAAAATTGATTTTATTCGGGACTAAATGCTGAAGGTTAAATGCAGTACATCCTGAATTAATTAACAGGAATTCTTCACTTGCATGATCTCTTTCACGGCAGGAATTTGTCAAGGGTATAGATGACAGCTACAATCTTTGCCAGAAACTATGGGACAGCTGATGTAATTTCATATAATTTGAAAGGAATAGAGCCCCCCCCCCCTTTCCCCAGTTCAATGTTGGATCGACAAAAACATGATGTCTGGTTGCGAGGCGCCAACATTGAAATAGGTGGGGGGAGGGAGGGTGGAAAAATGTATCAGTAAATGGTTTATTACAACCGAATGCATGTGAAAGCTAGATTGTCCCATTCTATATTGTCAAAGATTGTAGACTTTAACATCTCACTCAAATGAACTAATTATGTTGAAGGATTTTGTAGATAGAAATTTCAAGAGTAAATTTTATACATTTAAGACCTAACCGGGACACTGCCCCTCTGGCAGGAATTGAACCTGGTGCCTTGTGATTCTGGTGCCAAGCTCTAATGCAGCTAGTACATGCGCCAATGTGGTGCATGGCATCACCTTGGTATACAAGCTAAATCATTGGACTCTACAGGGTGTATCAAAAAAAACTGAACAGATTTGAAATTGCTCTCAATTTCGCAAAACACCTATTTATATCTGGTTTTTTATATATATAGCTTCTTTGGGTACTTATAATGTAAAATGATGGAAAAAAATTTCTCAAACTCAAATTTTGTGAACCAGGGGGGTGTGTCTTTTCCAACAAACTAAAAATGGCTCGCGCACAAAATTTAAAAGCTGTAATCATATTTTAAGTTAATAGATTGAAAATTTGTCGGGTTTTTAATTACGGTACAAAATTTCAGACAGTTTGGTTTAGTTTAAGCCCTTTAACTATTCATTTTGTTCTAAAAAGTCATATTGCTGACATATGCAAATTAGGCAAATGCATTAATTAAGCATGCAAATAGCTGATTTTTCGGGAAAATTGTAACTTTGCGTGAATAGTTAAGGGCTTAAACTAAACCAAATTGTCTGGAATTTTGTACAGTAATTCAAATCCCGACAAATTTTCCATCTGTTAACTCAAAATATGATTGCAGCTTTTAAATTTTGTGCACGAGCCATTTTTAGTTTGTTGGAAAAGACACACACCCCTGGTTCCCAAAATTTGAGTTCGAGAAATTTTTCTCATTATTCTACATTATAAGTACCCGAAGAGGCTATATATATAAAAAACCGAATACAAATAGCCGTTTTGCGAAATTGAGAGCAATTTTAAATCTGTTCAGTTTTTTTATACACCCTGTATAGCTCAAATGGTTAGAGCACTGCACCTGAATTGCAAGGTCCCAGATTCAATTCCTGCCAGAGGGCCTATAGCGGTTGAATTTTCATAGCCGCTCCTGGCTTATTTATACTCGGAATTTCCACTTATATTAAATTTTATTTATTTAGCCACCACAACAGCATATATGCCAATTACTGTGGGCCCTTTTACCTAACCCACCTTGTCAACTTTCCCCGTGGGAGGAAACCGGAGTACCCGGAAAAAACCCACAACTTTTGGCAGAGCGTTGACTTTTACTCTTTTCACATGAGGACTGGGTTCAAGTTGCGTCGATAAAGTTCTCACTGAAACTTGAACCTGCGACCTTGGAGGTGAAAGGCAAGTGCACTAACCACTTCACCACCAAAATTCTTCCATACTCAGCAATACATTTTGTACAAACGCGAAAATCGTGAAATTAATGCACCAGTCAAATATGTAAATCCCCGGGGATTTAGCGGGGAGACATGCGGGGACATTGATTAATTACCCTTTCCCCAGGGGCAGGGACAATTTCGCTCTTTTACTACACCTCTAAGTCAAAATCCCTGCCACTCCCCGGTTGGAGGACGGGGGTTTACATTGACAGGTGCATAAGTATGAAGGTAATAGTTCAACTGCAATTTATGTGTTGCCCTTGAGTCCTTGTCATGTCCTCGACACTTGTCACTTGCTGACTTGGGGGGTTCAATCACTTCAATGCACCTTTTAAACGGAATACCACTAATACCTAACCCATTAAGGCACTAATAATGTTACCCATACTGCTATACGTACGGTGGCCCACAACTCTCACATCAATAACAAATAGTTCACAGCATTAACAAACAGTTCACAGCATTAACAAACAGTTCACAACATTAACAAACAGCTCACAGCATTAACAAATTGCTCACATCAACAACAAATAGCTCACAGCATTAACAAATTGCTCACATCAATAACAAATAGCTCACATCGTGGCTTTCGTACAGCGGTTTTATTTTTAATCAACTATATCGTTACAACATGAAGTTCTTTACTCGGGCGTCCACGCCACTTTTTCACGCCGTCCAGTCAAATTTTACTGGAAAAATTTATCAATTCACAGATGACATCAATAGGCATAGCCGATCGAAGTGGACACGCGAACTTGCGAACTTTAATATATGTATATAAAAAGAAACGATTTACATAACGAAAGGCGGAAATGTTTTGTCCTAACTGTGGCAAGGAAGCAGAAAATGGTTCAAATTTTTGTGTGAAGTGCGGAAAAGGTTAGTAAAACTTTTTAATCGTAATAGCTATTAATATAAACACAGCATGAGCATGCGCCACTGCACGTGCGATGGACATTGTCATTGACCTGTGGGTTCAACTTTACTTTCTCTTATTTTCTGTTATTTTTACACATGAATATTGTAGAAGATACACAATATAAATAAAGTCAGATTTACTACATCCAGTAACCCTAGTTAATTAATAGGAATTCCTCAATTTCATGGCCATAGTCATAGATTTTGTGGGCAAATTTCCTTAGATTTATTATACTGAAATTTATATTTATAAAGCAAGTGATAATTCAGGGGTAGATTTAATATATGGCGGGGGAGGGGGGTGCGCATGGGTGTGCACCCCTGTTGACGTTGGTCAACAGTGGTGCAAGGGGGTGCATGAAAATCAAATTCAGAAATATGGCACAATATCCATGCCCATGGTTTTTCCTTATTTGAAGTGAAGCTGAAGCTCACAATTTAATGCCCATATCGCAGAAAATGGCATTTCTGGGGTTCTAATTTTCAAAATTTTCTGTGGGCATACCCCGGGCCCAAATTTTTTTATAATTTCACCCCCCAACCAAAAATCACTTGGCACGGTCCTGATTAGGAATTTGTGCTATTATGACTCATTATTTTCTCCACTTACTACCCCCCCCCCTCCCCATAAATAATGAACACTCCCTTATCATAGGGGACAGGGGTGGATCCAGCAAGGTTTTTTTTGGGTGCTGGGTGAGCAGCAGAGTGTTATTTTATAATTCTTTAAAGGGTGGTGGGAGAATATTCAAATGAATTGGCTTCCTAACGACTCAAAGGCGCGAGCTCCCTTGGGGTCCGGGGATATGCCCACAGAAAATTTTGAAAATTAGAACCCTAGAAGTGCCATTTTCTGCGATATGGGCATTAAATTGTGAGCTTCAGCTTCACTTCAAATAAGGAAAAACCATGGGCATGGAAATTGTGCCATATTTCTGAATTTGATTTTCATGCACCCCCTTGCACCACTGTTGACCAAGGTCAACAGGGGTGCACACCCATGTGCACCCCCTCCCCCCGCCATATATTAAATCTACCCCTGAATTATCACTTGCTTTATAAATATAAATTTCAGTATAATAAATCGAAGGAAATTTGCCCACAAAATCTATGACTATGGCCATGAAATTGAGGAATTCCTATTAATTATTAAACTTAGGGTTACTGGATGTAGTAAATCTGACTTTATTTATATTGTGTATATTCTACAATATTCATGTGTAAAAATAACAGAATATAAGAGAAAGTAAAGTTGAACCCACAGGTCAATGACAATGTCCATCGCACGTGCAGTGGCGCATGCTCATGCTGTGTTTATATTACGAAGTGACTATATGACCGGCAGCCGGTCACGGTTTATCAAATACTAAATGGCCGGCAGTCTAGTGACTATTGTTAAAGTTGAATTTTTATAAGATAAACCTATCCCCAACCCCAAACCCTTTTCTAACCCTAACCCTAACCTCTAACCCTAACCTTTTGAAAGTTAGAAAAGTCGGAAAAAAAGTTTAAAAAATTTTAAGAAAAAACAATGCTAAGTCAGACAAAACACATCCCGACCCCGACTGCGTTTAACTTTCCGCACGCAGCGCCCTTGTCGTATGAGCTAACGGCAAGCTCGGTAAAAGTTACCGCAAACAAAAGTTTTTATATTCAACTATAGTCACTAGACTGCCGGCCATTTAGTATTTGATAGACCGTGACCGGCTGCCGGTCATATAATCACTTTGTTTATATTAATAGCTATTACGATTAAAAAGTTTTACTAACCTTTTCCGCACTTCACACAAAAATTTGAACCATTTTCTGCTTCCTTGCCACAGTTAGGACAAAACATTTCCGCCTTTCGTTATGTTCGATCGGCTATGCCTATTGATGTCATCTGTGAATTGATAAATTTTTCCAGTAAAATTTGACTGGACGGCGTGAAAAAGTGGCGTGGACGCCCGAGTAAAGAACTTCATGTTGTAACGATATAGTTGATTAAAAATAAAACCGCTGTACGAAAGCCACGATGTGAGCTATTTGTTATTGATGTGAGCAATTTGTTAATGCTGTGAGCTATTTGTTGTTGATGTGAGCAATTTGTTAATGCTGTGAGCTGTTTGTTAATGTTGTGAACTGTTTGTTAATGCTGTGAACTGTTTGTTAATGCTGTGAACTATTTGTTATTGATGTGAGAGTTGTGGGCCACCGTACGTATAGCAGTATGGGTAACATTATTAGTGCCTTAATGGGTTAGGTATTAGTGGTATTCCGTTTAAAAGGTGCATTGAAGTGATTGAACCCCCCAAGTCAGCAAGTGACAAGTGTCGAGGACATGACAAGGACTCAAGGGCAACACATAAATTGCAGTTGAACTATTACCTTCATACTTATGCACCTGTCAATGTAA